ATATTGCGCCGCCTCCTACTGGCAGCCGGGCGGGCGCGCGCCGCGGGCGCCTCGGCGCGCGCACGGCTCGCAAAGTTCGAACGAGTACTGCCGCCTGGCCGCCTCAAGGCTGCCGGGCGGCAGTACTCGCCTCGCAAGGCGCGCACCGGCTGCTCTGGCTGCTGCGCCGGCGGCCGCTGCGCTGGCCGCTGCTGCGCCGGCTGGCGGGCGGTACCGGCCGCCGCCGGCCGCTGCACCCGCGCCTTCCCTCGCGGGCGCCGTCGCGCCGCGCGCGCCCAACTCTGCTGGTACACGGCACGCGTCGTCACACAGCCGCGGAGAACAGGCGGTGCTGTGCGCGAAGCGCGCGCGATCTCGTACTTTTAAGGCTGGATCCGGCCATTCCAAGGGTATACCTTTGAGAATCCCCAGCGTCCCTGCCTCCTAGTCACACTCTCAATATCTCGACTCTCCAACACGAAGTGCTGCGATCTGGGGAGGCCCATTTCTTTTTTCCTTTCTTTTTTGGGCCCCGTGGGCACCCTAGGTAGGTAGGTAGGGCGTTTTGGCGCGAGTCAGTCCCCAAGACCCCCTATCCGGGTAGGAGCCGGAACCCTGGGCACGGGACTTCGTGGTCGGCTCGCCGCTGAGCAGACTCGCAGGTCAGAGTGGCGGCCGGACAGTCGGTGCTGCTCAGCGGCGACAGACCAACGTGCACGCCGCCTTTGCGCGCCGCGTTGCGGAGCGAGGCCGTGTGCGTAGTCTCCGAGGGTTAGCCCCGCGTACCAGGTTTCCCTTAACTGCAAACGCCCCCTCTACTCGGAGCTAGTAATACGAGAATACTCTCTGAGGGTTGACCCGCTAGGTAGGTAGGTGACCCGCTTTGTTATGACCCCCCCCGATGAACACACCAGTGAGGGAGGGCGAGACGATCGAGGGGTCCCGTACCATGCGGAATCGACCCTATCCGGTGCTCAAGTGCTCAAGGTGACCCGCTATGAAAGTGGCGAGAATCTTATAACATGGCGAGAAAGAGAATTAACGTAGCTTCGAGAAAGCCCGTGTCCTCGATCTCGAGCCCCGCAAAGCCACGCGGATCGGCCACCTTCCTTCGCAGCGCCGCCGCGCCGGCGCGGCTCAGATGCGCATAACACGCCCGAAAGCTCCCGCATCGCACAAGCAGCCGCAGCATCGCCACCGTGCCGAGGCGAATCATCTGGTCCGAGTCGGGCGTGAGCGAGGTGCCGAACTCGTACTTCGCGTAGTACTCGCCCTTCTTCCGCCTGAACGTCACCTCCATCCGGCTCAGCGCCTCAAAATCGCCCTCCTTCCGCACTGCGCCCGCCTCGCCCTCCCCCGCGACCTCGTCCATGGTGATGAAGAGGTCGCCCATCTGCAGCGGCGGCAGCTCGTGCCAGGGGCTGTCGGCGTCCGCCAGGTCGTTCGCGTCATTCATCGCCATCCCGGGACGGCAGCCCGTGACCTTCGCCGTTCCCAAGTACGCACACACGACGTGAGCCACGTTTGCTTCAAACGGCTCCGCCAGCGACGCGTCCTGCAGCTGGTACTCGCCGACCTGGTACAGGTGCTGCTTCGCGCACGGGTGGGTCGTCGCCGCGCTCAGCTGCTCCACCGTCCGCTTGCTCGCCGCTGCGCTCGCCTGCGCGCTCGCCAGCCGCTGCTGGCGGGCGCTCTTCCCGCGCGCGGCGCTCTCGGCCGCCGCGGCTCGCCCCGCCGCCTTCCCTGCCTCCTCCGCCAGCATCTTCATCCCGCTGCCGCCGCCCTCGAACAAGGACATGACCTGGTCCCTCACCGACTTCCAGTACTGCCTCGCCTCCGACGTGCCGGCCGCTGGCATCGCAGGCCACAGCTCGCACCAGAGGTGGTTCTTCATGTGTTTGAGGGCGACCTCCACAGACTTCTCGCCGCGTCCGGTGCGCACCATCGCCTCCTCCCCTCGCGCGACACTCCCGACGGGAAGGTGCCAGCGGCTTGCCCTCAACGGCCGGACGCGCGTCGTCGCCAGCCACTGGCCGAAGCGGATCGTCCAGCGAATGGTGGGGTGCGTGCCGCGCGAGGTCCGCGACATGGCCACGTCCTTGCCCTTCTTCGCCTGCTGGGCGAGAAAGTCGCGCTGCCGGCGTCTCACGTACACCAGCTGCCGCGACAGGCTCGGCCCGTGCGGCCTCAGCAAAGGCTGATCGTCCGCCCGCATGGCCTCCTCCTGCCGCTCGTCGTCCATCCCGTCGAGCAGGTCGGCCAGTTCGCTATGCTGCACGGCCGTCGCGCGGCGATGCGCGCCCGCTCGCGTCCCCGCGGCGACCGCGTCCTCCTCGCCGCCGCTCTCCTCGCCGCCGCTCTCCTCGCCGCCGCTCTCCTCGCCCTCGGTGGAGGCCGCCACATTCGTGCCGTCGGCTGGCGTCGGCATCGCGGTCGCGCGCCGCCACTGCTCGTCGTCAAGCATGTGCCAGTACTGCTCGCCCTGGTGGCCGTCGTATTCGACCTCGTGCACGAGCCGGCCGTCCACGTCCTCCTCCCGCCCCGCGATGGTGGCCGGCCACCACAAGCCCTGCTCGCCCAGGATCTCGACGTGCGTTCCCGTCTCCACGATGGTGTGCCCCGCCTGCTTCGCCGTCTCGTCCACCCGCAGCCGCTCCCGCCGCTCCCTCTGGCCCTCCCTCGCCGTCGGAAGGGCGTAGTTCGGGCCGCTCTCCTCCACGCCGGCCAGCACGTCCGCGGCGCTCACCGCCTCGACGTCCATCGCCTCCTCCGCCGCCGGCTCGGTCGTGCCGCCCGCTGCCTCGCGTTGTCTGCGCTGCCGCTCGCGCTCGTGGTGTGCTGCTCGGCGCTCGACGCCGCCGCCCTCGTGCACGCACGCCGCCTGCGGTGCCATCTCGCCGCAGGGCGAAGGCCAACCGCAAATTTCGCACAAACTCCGTGCAAAGCCCCTTCGAACGCGCGAAAGCGCCGGCTTTCGAACCTCGGCGCCCGCCCTCTTTCTGGCCGCGTCCCTCCCCTTTTCGATCTTCTGCATTCACTCTTTACATACATAAACACCTCCCAACTCTCAACACACCACCGCTGGCACCCATGTGCTGGAAGCCGTTTTCTCTCTCGAGCACCGACAATGGATGGACAGACACATCTCAGCGCGCGCGCGGATGGGGTCGCGGGGCGGCGAGATGGTCGGCGTCGATACCGCATCGACCGCGGTGAAACGGCAACTCGCGTAGGAAGAGCCGGGCCAAGCTCCTGGAAGGCCATCAGTCGCCTCGCCACTGGAATGCCTGCCGAAAAACCTCGGACATTTTACGAACTCCTTGGCGACGTGCGCGTCGCGTCGCCAAGCGGCTCTGCGACCTCGGTCGTACAATCGGCGACCTCGGTCGCACAACCGGCCGGATGCGCGGGTTTTCAGCCAGGTTCCCGCGCACCGGCCACAAACTCGACTCGCACAGCAAAAAAATCCGGTGCTCGCGCGCTGCTCCCACGCTTGACCACACACTCGCTGCACTGCTCAAAGCCAACCCTAACTCACTGGCCGCCTCCGACACTGTCCCGCGCGTCTCGCGCCCCAACTGACAACTCATCATTGTCCCTCGGACACCACTCTCCAGCCGCGCTACCTTCGCCCACCTACCGCTCTCGCATGACATCTCGACAATCCTCATATCTCCAGGCCCAAGACTCCTAACCACTACCCCTGCTCGCCCAGGACCACGAAGCGCCGCCCGCGCGCCCATTGACCCCCCAATCAGCCCTCTTGCTGTCCCTCAATCCCCACCCGCCAGATGTACTGCCCTCGCCCACCCAATACTCTCACCCTCCTGACCCGGACAGTCCAGGTACAGGAAAAGCGGGGAGCGGGGCCCGATCCAAGGAGCACCCCGTCGGCCCGGGAGGGCTGTGAATTTCGGCGCGAGCGGAAGGCTGCCTGCAGACGCTCAGCCCCCGGCTGAGCTGCCGAATCCTCCCGGCTAATCCCCTGACCTGCCGCCTGAAACGGGACGACATTACACCACCTCACACACACTCCCCCCTCAGGGCTAAGCAGTGCGCAAGTCCACCCGAACTCTAGGCGAGGCGTCGACCACTCCTTCGGAATAGCTCTGTCAGTGGCTGCACTAGACGCCCAGAGATGGCGCGCGGCGCGGGCGGATGACTGGAAGAGAAAATGCGGAGAGGCTAGCTCGCAGGTAGATGTGCTCAGCCAAGGGTAGGGGAAGACTCCCATGGGCAGGACCATGGGGAGGAGGGGCCCCACTCGAGTGGGGCCCCATACGGGGCAGTGACCTGCCACGATAGACTCCCATGGGCAGGCCCATGGGGAGGAGGGGTCCCACTCGAGTGGGGCCCCATACGGGGCAGTGACCTGCCACGATAGACTCCCATGGGCAGGCCCATGGGGAGGAGGGGTCCCACAAAGTGGGGTCCATGCGGGGCAGCAACCTGCCACGATAGACTCCCATGGGCACGGCCCATGGGCAAGCGGGGTCCCACTGGGTGGGGTCCCGTGCGGGGCAGCAACCTGCCACACTAACCTCCCATGGGCAGGCCCATGGGGAGGAGGGGTCCCACAGAGTGGGGCCCCATACGGGGCAGTGACCTGCCACGATAGACTCCCATGGGCAGGACCATGGGGAGGAGGGGTCCCACGTGGGGTCCATGCGTGCGGGGCAGTGACCCAAAGCGAGAACTGGCTGCGGCGCCACACGCCAGCCCCAGCTGTCTCCTTTGCGACGCGGGCTGACACCGTCGGGGCGCGCGCCACGCCCCACACACCGTCGCCACTCCACCCCGTGATTCGACGGTCTCGCCCGACATTCCGCCTTCGCCGTGACGTGTCCCAAACGAGCTGGGGTCGGTTGCCACTCAACACCTCGCCCAGCCTTGCTGCGCACGCGTGCCACGGCCAGCCTCTCTGTCGCAGCTGACCCAGCGCGCGTGCCGGCTGGGCCGAGGGCTAGGGCCTCGCGCTCCTCTCCTGTGCTCTGCTCACCCTCCACGCGGTGGCGGCCGCAGGCGCAGCGGCGACCCGGAGCCCGTCTGCACAGGTCGACAACATAAGCACACCATGCACATGGGTCTGCATCACCTGCACAATCATGCCACCATGCGCATTGGCACCTCGTTTGTGCGGCGCCGGTGCGCTCTTGCGACAGCGCGCGGGCGCGCGCGGCTCGAGGAGGAGGCGCTCGCCGCCCTCAACGGCGTGCTCGACCCAGCACTCGCGCGCTGCAAGCGGCTCGCCGTGCAGCCCGACGCGACTGTGGCGGTCAAGCTCGAGTTCCGCTCCGGCGCGATGAGACGCGGCGCCGTCGAGGCGGCCGCCGCGGCCGCGATTGAGGCTCTACCGTGGGCGCGCCGCAGCAGCGTCGAGTCCACGCTCTCGCGCCCGCGCTCATTTATGGGCTCCAATGCGCCGCCGTCGCTGCGGCACGTTGGCGCGCTGGTTGGCATCAGCAGCTGCAAGGGCGGCGTGGGCAAGTCGACCGTCGCGGTCAACCTCGCCTACGCCCTCGCCACCCAGGGCGGGCGGGTCGGGCTCCTCGACGCAGACGTGCACGGCCCGTCGCTGCCGTCGCTGGTGCGGCTGCCGCCCGGCTCGTTGCCGCTCCGGCAGGACGCGCAGACGCGGCTCCTCGCGCCGGCCGAAGCCGACGGCGTGAGGCTCATGTCTTACGGGTTCGTGGGCAAGGGCGCTTCGAGCGGGGCGGTGCCGGCGGCGGTGATGCGCGGCCCGATGGTAGGCAAGACAGTCGGGCAGGTGACTTCCGACAAGCTCCCACACACCCGCAAGCCCCATTCTTCACCCGCGCGGCGAATGGCCTAGAACGCGTCGCTGGGTGAGATGATCTCCCGCTGTGTGCCCCCCCGCCCCCCCCCCCCTTCCCGGTCTTGCTTGACGGCGCCGTCCCAATGCATCCCAGATGCTCTCGGGGACCGACTGGGGCGAGCTCGACTACCTTCTCGTCGACCTGCCGCCCGGCACGGGCGACGTGCATCTCACGCTCTCGCAGACATACGGCCTGTCCGCGGCGGTGCTGGTGACGACGCCGCAGCGCCTCTCGACGGTGGACGTGCTCAAAGGCGTGCGCCTTCCCGCGCCCCCCCTCGACCCTGTCGCCGCCACATCCCGCCTCCCCCTCGCCTCCCCGTCGCCGCCACCCTCTCTGTCGCGCCCGCGCAACCGCTCTCGAATACCCCCTCGGTTCGGGAGCGGGTGAGCGGTCACACTTGTGGCGCCGCATGAGCACCCCCCTCGCGCGCGCGCCGTGCCCACGCCTCCGCGCGGCGTCGGCCACACGTTGTGTGGTGTGGCCCGCCACAGGCGTCGACATGCTGCGAGAGCTCGGCGTGCCGATGACCTCCCTCGTCGAGAACACGGCCCACTTCTTCGTATTCTTCTGATTATATTAGGCGTGCCGATGATCTGCCTCGTCGAGAACACGGCCCACTTTACCGACGACACAGGCCCGCCCCCTCAGCCCCTAGACCGCGCACCCGCCCCGGCCCCGAAGCTTTCCCGGCGCCTTGCCCCCCCCCCCCCCCCCCCCCGCCCGCGCCCGCGCATCCGGACTCAGTTCTCCGCGTCGCCGACGGGACAGGCCGGACGCACCTGCCCTTTGGCGGCTCGCAGCTCGAGGCGGTGAGGCGGCACGCGGGTCTACGCGAGAGCGACACCTTCCGCCTCCCGATCGAGCCTCAGGTGGCGGAGACGAGACCACGCGCAGCACGGCGAGGGAGTCCCCTAGGCGAGCCCTTAGGCCGCGTGGCCGCAGGTGGGAGAGGCAGTCGATGCGGGCTCGCCGCTCCAGCTGCTCACATCGCAGAGCGAGTCGGCGCACGCCCTCCGCGCGGCGGCGCGCCACTTGGTGGTCGCGATTGGGGAGCGGCAACACGGCGCCGCGGCGGGCGGGAGTGGGTCGCATCTGCGGTGCGGCCGCGCTGAGGCCTTGCGCTTCCGGTGGACGGCGCCCTCTCACCCCCGCCCTGCTCGCGCCCTCAAGGTACGACCCGAAGCGCGGGCTCGTCCTCCGCGTACTCAGCGGCGACCACGAGGGGCGGGAGTTCGTGCTCTCGAAGGCCGCGCTGCACGCGCTGCGCGGCGGCGCGGGTGCGGGCGACGCGTCTGCGCCGCTGCTGGACACGGTCGAGCCGTGCGAGACCGAGGCGGGCCAGCCCGGCGCCAAGCTCTACTGGTGCGGTGGCGGTGCGACAGTCGTCCCGCTTGGGGATTTCCCGCATCTGGCGGCCGCGCACGGGTAGTGATGTGGGTGGTGGGGCGCCCGGTAGAGCCCGGGTCGCGGTGCTCGCACGGCGTGCACAGAGACGTTGAGCGAGGAGGCCGAAAATTTTCGTCTTCATGATGAATGTACGTAGCGACAACCAATCGACGTAAACCGTATTTGCCCACCGCGCTGGCTGACACCAGTGAGAGAGAGCGCCGGAGCGCCGCGCCCGCGCGCCGCGGCGTGCAGCGAGGCGGTGAGAACACTGGGAGACTGGGTAGAGTGGGAGATCTACTCGAGTTTGTCCAAATCCTGGACGCGGTGCAGAATGGTCTGCTTGGACGTCTCCTGCACCTCGCCCGCCAGGAAGAACTCGTCGAGGATCATGTACACTTTGTTGAAGTTGAAGACAAGGTCGAGCTCGCACACGTTGCCAAAGAACTGGTCCAGAAGCTCGACGAAGAGATGGATCGACTCGAAATACACCAGCTCGTTATCGTTCACATCAACGCACAGCGTAAAGAAGAGCCCCGCGTATCGCCGGTATATCAGCTTGTACTGCTTGAACTGCGCGCAGCGGGGGGCAAGTCAGGGCGATGGGGGCGCGAGGTGCGGAGAGATTTCGGGTGACCCCCCCCCCCCCCCAATGTTCCGCCCCATCCCCGCCGCCCGTCCCCGCATTTTTGGCCCGTCCCCGCCCGTACCCCGCTGGCCCGGCACCTCGACGAAGTTTGTGAATTTCTGGTCGCGGGTCGTCACGATGCGGTGAATCTCGGCCTCAATCTTGATCTTCTCATCGTCAGTATAGGTGCGGTAGTATTTGCTCAGCCGGGTCTTGCCCTGTCGGTTCTGCAGGAGGATGAACTGGATCATAAGCCACCAGGCACGGGCTGTGCTCGCGCTGAACGCCGCCAACAGCGCCGAGAGAGGGACGCGAAAAGAATTTTGGGCCCTCGATCCCGCCGGCTTGCGAGAGAGATCCCCTGTGCCCTGTGCCCAGCCCTCTCCGCGCGGCGATGCGCCCTCCCCCCGTATGTGCTTGCTATAGCCGCAGCCGAGCACGCCGATGATGTTTGGCTGCAACTCCTACGTACTCTCTTTTGTGTGATGAAATACAAACAAACGTGTGAGTGTTAGAGTTGTTTGGTATTGCTAAAAATCTCTCTGAAATACAGATGGCGCCTGATCGTACGAACTGTGTGATGATCTGTGTGAGAGATGTTTTAGATGTGTCACCCACGGGAAGTGCGTGGAAGGTGCTTCATCAACATCGTTCATCAAGAATTTCTTGGCCATGAATCTTTGCGCGCGGCGCGCCAGACAACCACCCCCACCTGTGGGCAAATTACCGCTGGTTTGCCACTGACTTGGGCCGGCAGCTTCTCAGCCCTCAGCCGAAGCTGGATTCGTGTCTGTCCTCGACCCAGCCCTTAGCTTGGGATGTCCGTTTATTTTATTTATTAAACCCCTCGCTCTCACAACACTAAGCACGGGACTGGCACGCACTGGCACTATTGGGGGCACAGGAGACGCGGCACGCACGGCCACGGGGCCCACGACAGACGCCACAGGCTACAGACACGGGGAGGCACTGGTAACGCCGGGAGTGTAAGCGACGACGGCGTCATCCTCCGACTTGCTCCCCCGATCTTATCCAACATCATATCGACAGAGAGACCTCGTGATGAGAGGTCCGCGGGCCCACCTTGTAGCCTTTACCAGGGCCGGGCTCATCCGGGGGCGAGCAGCGGCGCTGCCTCCTCGCCCGGAGGTACATGCCGCCTCCGAGCAGGGCCGCGGTGACGGCCACCCCCACCGCCGCGGCCGCCGCCACGGCGACCGCGGGGGAGGAACCCCCTTCGCCGACCTCCTCCACCTCGACCCGGAGAGTGCTATCGATGTAGGTGACGTTTGCGGCGCTCATAGCCGCCTCAAAGTCGCCTCGGCCCGCCTCCTCCGTGTATGCGCGGAGGCTGCGCTGTGCGGAGGCGGCCTCCGCCGGCGTCGTCGCCGGGATCGTGGCAACCACGACGACGCTTCCGGCGGTGATCTCGAGGGTGGAGCCGAGAGGCACAAAGCTGAACCCGGCCAGCTCCGCGAGAGTGACGAGGATCAGCCTCTGCGCGGCGGCGTCATAGTCGCCGACTTCGCCACTTGCGGCGAAGGTCGCGACGACCCGGAACGACCTCGACTGTGCCGGCGGCGGCGGCGGCGGCCTCGGGGGTGGAGGTGCGGGTGGGGGCGCTGGGGAGGGCGTCAGAGAGGACGACGGCGACAGCAACGGTGGAGGCGGCGACGGCGACAGCGCCGGCGGACGCGGTGAAGGCGGAGCAGGCAACGGCAGCAAAGGCGGCGATGGCGGCGACGACGGGGGTGGCGGCGAGGGTGGTGGAGGCAGCGGCGGCGGTGGCTGCGACGGCGGCGGCGGCGGCGGCGGCGGCGGCGGTGACGACGGTGACGGCGGTGGTGGCGACGGAGGCGGCGTCGGCGACGGTGGAGGTGACGGCGAGAGTGACGGCGGTGGGGGCGATGGTGGAGGTAGCGACGGCGAGGGAGGCGATGGTCGGAGGCGGCGACGGCGGAGGCGGCGACGGCGAGGGTGATGGCGACGGCGGCGACGGCGGTGGCGGTGACGGCGCGGGTGGTGACGGCGGTGGTGTCGACGGCGGGGGCGGCGATGGCGAGGGTGACGGCGGCGGGGGCGAGGGCGGCGGGGGTGACGGGGAGGGAGGCGAAGGCGGGGGTGGCGATGGCGACGGCGGCGACGGTGGTGGTAAAGGTGGTGGTGGAGAAGGCGGCGGCGGTAGCGGCGCAGGTAGCGATGGCGGCGGTGGCAACGGTGGTGGCGGCGACGGAGGCGGTGGGGGCGGCGACGGTGACGAAGATGGTGGCGGTGGCGAGGGCGAAGCCGAGGGCGGTGGCGGCGGCGGCGACGCCGAGGGTGGTGGCGAAGGCGCGCTGGGGCAGGCGGCCGTTACCTGAGCGACGGTGTAGCTGGCTATCACGGAGATGGATCCGGACAGGCAGGCTGGGTAGGAGGAGGCAACAGTGACGAAGTAGGGGGAACCGGTGTAGAACTCCCCGTAGGAGAGCTCGACAGCACCCCACCCGGGGTATGTGCCGCTGTACGAGCAGTAGCCGCCGCAGCACACGCCGGGCGCGGAGTCAGGTAAGATGGTGTACTCGACACCGCCGAGCGTCAGAAGAGAGCAGCACAGGTTTGAGCAGCCGTTGTAGATTCCTGGCGTTGGCGGCGCCGATGGCGGAGAGGGAGGAGCAAAGGGCATCCCGCAGTTGCTCACCGCTGCGGTTTCGGTCCCTCCGACTGCGACTATGGCGCTGTCATCGACGATGGAGCACGCGGCGACTGCCATGCCGCCCGTCGGGAGCATGTACGTCTCACCCGCCCCCAGCCAGAACCACTTCTCCGTCCGGATGTCGCCATATGCATTCACGTGCGAGAAGTGGACGGTCACTTGGTTCAGCTTGTTGTCGCGGTCGGCGTGGCAGCCCAACGCGGAGCAGGTCTCTTCGTCGCCGCGAAAGGCGATCCAAATCTCGCCGGCGCCACCTGCGCCCCAATTTAAGACGCGGGATTCGCAAGAAGGGCAATTTATCTTGAGCGCCAGAGCGGCTGTACCTTCTGGCCCGAGGGAGAGAGCACGCAGCTGTGTGGGAGTCGTGGACGATGGCGAGCCGACCGCCACGGCGGAGTCGGGGATGGCACCCAAGAAGTAGCGACCGGGCGCTGTGAACGAGTTGAGCTCGCCTCTGTCGTTGCCCATCGTCGCGGACGAGTCGCCGTACTCACTTAGCTGTCCTGTCGCATAGCGGTCGACGCCGCTGCCGGCCGCGTGCCCGAGCCCAAGGTGGTGGCCGAACTCGTGCGCTCCTATTTGTAGCGGGGCGCCGTGAAAAGAGACGCTTCTCACAGGCACCTGCGCGGTGAGGCCCCGTGCCAACGCTCGCTTCAGCCTTTCCTGCCAGCTGGTTGCGCACAAAGCAACCCGCCCACCAGTAAGAACTGGCATCCCCGCTGATGTCTTTGTAGGTTGTGCTCACGTACGGGTCTCCACTATTCTTGCGTAGGATGCCCGTATAGCAGCTGCCCATAATCCCCCCACCCGTGGGGTTGGATGGGTTTGAGGCGCAAGACTCCGTCGCGGACTCTGGCAAGTAGTACAGGATCGCGTCGATGTCGTTCATATCAACAGATTCGCTGAGCTCGCAAGCGGCGGTGGCAAGCAGGTCGAAGCCCTGTCGGCTACATCCGCTGCTGCTTGAGACCGCCGGATGCTGCACTTTCGACACTCCCGTGAGGTCGCGGGTGACGACACGTGAATTTTCGAGGTCGAAGCCGAGCTTACCATAGGTTGAGAAGCGGAACTCCTGATCCATGATGCTGCGCTGCTGCACCACCCACGCCTCTCGCGCAGATGGGGTGCTGCCTGCATAACTCGGATACCACCCGTTAGTCTCCACGAGGACCGAGAGAAGGCGGATATTCACCTGGCCATCGAAGTAGGGGCTGCTTGACGACCACGAAGCGGCTATTGGCCGCACGACTTCTTGCTCACCCCCTTGGCCAATCGGCCGCACAACTTCCTCCGACAATTGGCTTGACAGCTGCCGTCTACCTGGACAGAAACCGGGAACAGCACTGGCGACACGCAAGGCCAGGAGTATCGTGGCAGTGCGCAGGATCATGGAGGCGGCGACGACGCGCTCACCTCAGTCGAACCGCGGCAGCGACGACGCGCTCACCTCAGTCGAACCGCGGCAGCGACGACGCGCTCACCTCAGTCGAACGCGGCGGCTCTGCACCCTTCGTTTTGCGTTCGGATTTTCCGCTGCAGTTTTTCTCTTTTCTCGGCGAACCGTGTACCCCCCCCCCTGGGAATGGGAATTCACAGTGTTGAGAACGAACGTCTCTTTTCTTTCTCTCGGCGAGCCGTCCAACAGGTTCCGCTGCATCTCTGGGCGTGCGCAAGAGGCGGGGTAGAATTCCTCGATACCTCAAACCACAAACGACAAACGTACAAATACGAAATAGAAAAAAGGGCCCGGGGGAAATTGTCCAGGGGTGCAGCGGCGTTATGGACTCTCCGCGGTAGTCTCCTCTATCACAAAATCCTCCCTCATACACATGTACGTACTCTCTAGAGCGTGAAAAAGCGTTCCGCGGCCCGCGGCGGCCGGTCGAGGGCGCCGAGGGAAACGCGCCCTCGAGCCTCGTCCACGGGCTACAAGCGGCCGTTCACTCAGGCGCGCCGTTGCCGCTTCCGATCCGAGTCCTGATCCCCTTGCCGCCCTTCACCGCCCGTTGGCTGTACGCGCCCGGCGGCGCGGCCTTCTGGCGTGAGCACCTACTCACGGCCTGGTGCTGTGAAGAGACGGTGCTCGCACCAGTGCGCGACTCGCCCTCCAATCGCGTGAGCACGTAGCGCGCGTCCTCCTGCCAACCAAAGGGGGGGGGGGGGGGGGGGTCACTCCAAGAGGTCTCCACGACTCCCGTCCTCGGCACCGGAACAGGAGCACTCGGGTGAGCCATGCGTGGGGTGTGTGCACGCATGCCTGCAACCAGAGCGGAACCAGAGCTCGCTTCTCTTTCCCGAGCACCGTCACGGCGTCCTGTTCACAGCTTCACGCCGGCCGTGAAAATGCCTGTTCTCAGCCCCTCGTCTGCGCGGCGCCGCGACGGCGTCCTGGCGGTAGAGCGCGAGGTCGTCGTCGCCGCGTGTGATGGCGGAGCCTACTCACAGACAGAAGGCTTCCCAATGGTTTGCTACAGGCGGCGCGGCGGCGCGGCGGCGGCGCCGTTCTCGCGTGCGTGCTTCACGATCGCGTCTCGCCCGACACCCGCCTACCTCTCC